CTACCAATAATAATGATAAATCCTTTTTTATTCAAGATGATTCTGAATATATGTTGTTAAATGAAGATGTGAAAACATTAAAAATCTATTATAATAATAATATTATTTTTCAAACAGAAGATTTTAACAGTTGTTTTAATAACTGATTTGATTAAATTATATTTTATTTATTAATAAAATAGTATTATTATTAATTAAAAAATTTATATAATTCAAATTTTTGTATATCAGAATTGTAAATTTCATAATGTTTGATTTAACATTTTTTTTAATATTATTCTTTTATCATTATGATTTTGAACATTTATATGAAATAAAAAAACTTGCTTTAATCTCTAAAGAATTTTATTTGGCAATTAAAGAAAATATTATTAAAATAAAAATAATTGATGAAGCAACTGAATCTTATGAAATTCCAATAATTCATAAATATTTTCTCGAAAAGGATAATGAAAAAATTGAAATTACAGAAACAAGATTTAAAAATATTAAAGCATCTTTTAATAATTGGAATAGTTTATTTACTACAAATATATCACATGGTTATTATTACAAAAGCTTTAATATATCTGAAATTGAATTTATATTACCTAAAAATATATTTCATAATCGATATGAAAAATATTTATATATGATTGATGAAAATGATAATAAAAATCTTGTAGTAACTCATATTCTCACTGGTAAAAAGTATTTAATTGATGATAGAAAATTAAATGAATGGTTTAGATTTTATGATTTTGGTATTTCCGAAGAAGATTGGGTGAATTATAATTTGAAAATATATTTTATTAATGAATTTATTTTTAAAAAATTATTGTTAATTAAATTACTTAAAAAGAAAAATAATGAATTTAGAAAAAAATGTGAAATTTCAGATAATAAAAAAATAACAATAGGAGGTTATAATATTATATCACGATATTAAATTATTATTTATTATTTATCATTTTGTATATTTTCAAATATTAAATAAATTAATAATATTATTAATAATACTAAAAATAATATAATTATCAGTTGAATTATGATAAAAAAATAAAAAAAAATTAAAATGAATTCTATTAAATGGTTTGAAAAAGCTATTTCTGAAGAATTTATTAATTTATATGATTATGATGAATTTATCAATGAAGAAAAAATATCTGAAGGTGCTTTTGGTATTATACGAAAAATGAAATGGC